AGCAGGGAGCCCGATGCGGGACTCGATCCCGGGACTCCGGGATCATGACCTGAGCCGAAGGCAGTCGCTTAACCAACTGAGCCACCCAGGCGCCCATCACCGTTGTTTTCTACATAAATGTTAACGACAGAAGAGTTTTCTTTCTCATTCTGCCTACGTTCAGTTAAGCAGGTGTTGGTGACGCTGTCATTGACCCTCCTGTTCCCGAGCACACCCTGCACCCCGGCCTGCCACCACTGACCTCCTCAGTGGTGTCCTTGATGGGCGCCTGCTGCTGGCGCTGACCTTGTACTAGTCTGCCTGGTTGCCCGTGGCCTGCCAGCAGGAGCACAGTATTACACCTGACCTTTGGGAAGTGTGTCCTGTGGACCCCGAGCAGAGTTGGCCCCCGTGCCGCCGCTCCTGAGCCTGAGGCCGGGAGGGATTAAGTGATTTGTCTCAGTCACACTGCTCATTAGCCATGGAGCCAGGATGAGAGTCAGCGTCCACTGGACCTGGTCCAGAGCGCGGCAGCCTCCGTACCCGTCTTGCCACTTCATGGGACACACATCTCTTTCCCGGAACAAGTGCAAACTTGTCGTGAGGGACTGTTTTCATTTCAAGATGATGTTCAGCCAGTCAGTGAATATGGTTTGTGATTGTTTCAGTTACGGTTTGGTCATGTTCGGGGCTCTGTTATTCAGTTATTCCTGCACATGCTATGGAATTCTATAACTTCAGCAACTGGCATTTCAGACATTCCACGGATACATTTTCATTCTACTGTGTAAGCTCAGGGACACCGGAAGTGACTAGGGAGTCATTCGGCCAGAAAATAGTTGAACGCTTTTGAAATGTGTGTCTGTGCCGGGTGTCTGTTTTGGTTATAATTATATAAGCTACTCAAGATTTGTCTCCTGAGTTTTTGACAGTACTCAGCAAGAGCCAGGAAGAGATCTTGCCATCTGCTTTTGCTAAGAAAAGTGTTTTCTGAATTATCTTTTTGGGCTCCAGTTATTTAGATGTTGGATCTTTCTTCCTCTGTTAAGTCCCTGTTCTTATATCTCTTCTCACATGTTCTGTTTTTGTCTTTGTTTTTTTTTTCCCTGAAAAATTGCTCAATATTTTATCCGTCTTTAAAAAAATTTTAATATCAGCCAATACATTTGACTTGTAAGAGCTATTTTTATTTCTGATTATTCCTTTCATTGCATCTTCTTCTAGTTTTGTTTTTTTTTTTTAAGATTTTATTTATTTAATTGAGATAGAAACAGAGCACAAGCAGGGGGAGAGGCAGAGGGAGAGGGAGAAGTGGGCTTCCCACTGAGCAGGGAGCTCGACGCAGGGCTGGATCCCAGGACCCCGGGATCATGACCTGAGCTGAAGACAGACGGGTAACCAACTGAGCCACCCAGGCGTCCTCATCCTCTTCTAGTTTTTAGGGCTATGCCATATTCACTCTAGAATACTGTTTAGAGATGGTTTTTCTGTTTTTTAGTTTTCCTTTTTTCTACATTATCCCTTTTCTCTCTGGGAGTAATTTTTATTTTCCTTCTAGGGATCCTGTTTATTTTGAATTTCCTTTTATTGTTTTATTTAGGCTTTGCTTATATGTTTTATGATCCTTGGTTGTCTGTTCAGTATAAAAATGAGGCACTATGAAGTCTGACAAGGAGTTCTCAGTGCATTGGGAGGACTTGTCAGCTGGCGGGCCTCATTCAGCTGGAGCGGATGGGAACATCATTACTCTGAGGAAGCCCTCAGTGTCAGATGTGGAAGCCTTTCCTCTTGGACACTTGTGTCTTTGTTAGCTGCTCTCATTTCCTGGGTAGTTCTTTTACGTTCTGTAGGGAATGCCTCTGTTTCTGTTTTGGAAGTAGGAACATGTCAAGGTTGAGGTCCTAAAACAGATCTCTGATATAAACAGACTGTCTACAAACAGCCTATAAACAGTAAATCACTGCCTCCTTCTTTATGTACCCAGAGAGGATTTAAGTGGCACCACCACCCACCCATTGTTGTGTTTCCACCAAATCTGTAGCCATCTTTGCTTTCTCTCCTCTCCCTATAATCTCCCACAACACACTAAATACACTTACACTATTACTGCATGTGTGGCTCTCTGCTAAGTGCTTTTACACATGTTTACTCTTTCAATCTTTACAACAAACTTATGGGAAATAGAGTTATCAGTCCCACTTTACAGATGAAGAAATTGAGGCACAGGGAGATTAAGGCCTCATAACGAGTAGCAAAGCTAGGATTCAGCCCCAGTCCATTTTTGTTTTGTTTTCGATTTATTTAAATTCAAGTTAGCATATATAGTTAACATATATTGTATTATTGGTTTCACGGATAGAATTTAGTGATGCATCAGTTGCGTATAACGCCCAGTGCTCATTATAACAAGTGCCCACCTTAATGCCCATCACCCATTTACCCCATCCCCTTACCCACCTCCCCTCCAGAAACCCTCAGTTTTTTTCCCATAGTTAAAAGTCTCTTATGGTTTGCCTCCCTCTCTGTTTTTATGTTACTTTTTTTTTCCTTTCCTTACTCTACGTTCATCTGTTTTGTTTCATAAATTCCACATATGAGTGAAATCATACGGTATTTGTCTTTCTCTGCCTGACTTCTTTCACTTAGAATAATACCCTCTAGTTCCATCCACGTGTTGGAGGGAATGCAAGCTGGTGCAGCCACTCTGGAAAACAGTATGGAGGTTCCTCAGAAAGCTAAAAATAGAGCTACCCTACGACCCAGCAATTGCACTACTAAGTATTTATCCAAATGATACAAAAATAGTAATTCAAACGGGCACACACACCCCGATGTTTATAGCAGCAATGTCCACAATAGCTAAAATATGGAAAGAGCCCAGATGTCCAGTCCATGTTCTTAAATCACCACACTGCCCTGCCTGTAGTGCATTGGGAAGACCCTCCATCTCCAGAACAGATCCTGAATCTGACCATCTCTTCCACCTCTGCTTTTAGAACCCTAGTCCTCACCACTGGTGATCTCACGTGGACTCTGGTTTCCCTACCTCTACTCCATTCCCCTAGAGTCCACCTTCCATGTAGGAGCTAGAGAAATCTTCCAAAGGGCTGATCAGATACGGATCCCCCCCCCCGATTAACATGGTTGAGAGAAGAATCCACTGTTGTGTTTTAAACTCCGAATCTTTTCCGTGGCCTGGAGGCCCCCATGGCCTGACCAGCCCACTTTCTCTGGACCGGGCCCCTCCTCCTGACCTTTGAACCTAGTAAGCTTGTCCTTTGTGTTTGCTGCTGCTTCTCTTTGTTCCTCGCCATCTTCTCATTAGTCAGGACTCAGCTCAGGTGACACTTTGACTCACTTACACTCTCACACACATCGACTTCTTCTGGTTTTTAAAGCACATATCAAGATCGTAAATTTCTTAGTAGTTTATGTATATGTATCTCCCACCTAGATTCCGGGCTCCTGGAGGGCCGGGATTTTGTCTGGTTCCGTGTGCACCCCCAGTACTGGATGGGGACCCGGCACTTGGTTGGCTCTCTCTGGTCATTTGCTGACAAGTGTCTTGGGAGCTCTTAGGCTGAACAGTGCCCGCCTGCGTTGCAGCCCCCTCCCCACAGCGCACTGGCTTCAGTCCCTGCTCGCCTACGTGTGTGGACATCTCTTATCTACCAGTGGTCCCTTTCCCGTTACAGTTGTAGTGTTTGTTGCACTTGAGTCATTTGTGTGTTTTGGGACCTATTTTTGCCACATCTGCGGACCCCCTATACTATTATTTATCCTAATTTTTTCGTCATTTAAATTTACGTGAAATAGAAACTTTTATCACAATGTAAATGAATAAGAAAAATATTACTTGTCATGAATGACTATATTAATTGAAATGTCATTCCATATATCATTGAAAGTTGTCAAAACTTCAGTTTCATGCACTGCTTTTCTATACTGTAGTAGAAGTATTGGAATGGAGAGTTGAGAAATATGTGTTTGGTTATAATCTTGAACTTGAAGCCTGTCATTTGAAAACTTATCCTATAATGGATCCCTAAAGCAACAGTTGTGTTTGATTCTTCACATCTCCTAAAGCCAAGGCAGCTTGAGTCTAGAGTCTGCAGAGTTACTAATGTACAGTATGTGTATTTGTCGGTATCCACTTTCCATGTTGCTGTGCACAGCGCAAGAGGTCTCTTTGCAGCACTTTGAACACCATTTGCAATTCTTCTCCTCATCTAGGACTGACTGCTTTGCACGGATGATGAACCTTTCCTTACGTTTGAGAAGACCATCCTGGATGGTGGATAGTAAAAGAATGGGGATGACTTCAGATTTCCAGTGGCTCTTATTAACATGTATTCTCCTATACTTAATGAACCAAGTAAATAGCCAGAAAAGGGGTAAGTGCATCTGAGCCTTAGAGAATGAACTGATTGCAATGTCGTTGCTGTTTTTTTGCCATTACTATCTTGATTATGAGGTGATCTTGTGTCTTTATCAGACCCTTCCTTCAGGTTTTTTATGGTTAAAATCCATTTCGGGGTGCCTGGGTGGCTCAGTCAGTTAAGTGGCTGCCTTCAGCTCGGGTCATAATCCCGGGGTCCTGGGATCGAGCCCCGCATCAGGCTCCTTGCTCAGTGGGGAGCCTGCTTCTCCCTCTGCCTGCTGTTCCCCCTGCTTTTGCTTGCTCTCTCTCTCTCTGTCTCTTGCTCTCTCTCTGTCAAATAAATAAATAAAATCTTTAAAAAAAAAAAAAAATCCAGTTGTCATCTTTTTTTTTTCTATGTACTCTTGTTCTCTTTTAAAAAGGCCCATAAAGATAGATCTAAATAGTCTTTCCCCAGAAAAAAAGTTAAGGTATAATTTACATACAATACAGTTCACCCATTTGGGATAAAATTCTGTGAGTTTTGACAAATGTGTACAGTCATGTGACCACCAGCACAATCAAGATACAGAACACTCCCCACTCCAGAAAATTCCCTATGCTCCTCTGTACTCAGTTCCTCTCTCCCTACCTCAAGCCAGCACTGGCCTAGTTTCTGTCTATAATTTTGCTTTTCTGAATGTCGTATAAATGAAATCGAAATCTCTTTCTTTAATAATATGTTGTGTTCATCTTCTTTAAATATATTAAGAGTGTTTGTGTAGATGTTATTACCTAGCTTATTTCTATAAAGAACATTATCATCCTTCTGCCCCTGAGTTTAGTTTTTATCTTATTTTCATAATTAAACAGATCTCCTTTTTTCCCCCGAGATCACTGTTAAATAACTTCAGTATGGTTACTGATGATTTCTAATGTGAGTGCTTCTAATGTTTTTGTCTGCTGTCATGTATAAGTAGCTTTGTAATTTATTGCTACTGTAAATGTCATGCCAGTCGTGTAAAAATTAAAAAAACCTTTTCAGAGACATTTATAGAGAGAGTCTGAGATGGAGTAACCTTTTTTACACTCTAATTGCTTTATTTCCTCCCTTCTTCCCTCTCCTCCTTCCTTTTTCCTTTTGTTCTCCCTCTCGTATCCCTCCTCCTTTCTCTTTATTCTCTTTTTAGCATGACAGTTTTTCATTGTATGGTGCGAATGTATTCTGTGACCTAGTAGTGTTTTATAGGTATGAATAAATACTATTAGGATTACAATCTTCTAAGTTATTACTTGTCAGTTGTTTAGGCCTACACAAAAGACATATTTTTCAGAGACTTGTGTGAGTTCATTACTATTTAAATATAATATGCTTCATGAAAATTTTTTAAAGATTTATTTTTGAGAGAGAGAGAGAGAGAGACTGCAGCAGGGGTGTGGGCAGAGGGAGAAGCAGACTCCCTGCTGAGCAGAGAGCCCAGCACAGGGCTAGATCCCAGGACCCCCAAGCCAAGCCAAAGGCAGACTAAACTGACTGAGCCACCTAGGCACCCCTGCTTCATACAAATTTAAAGATTGGCTGTGGGGTTTCTATGTAGGTGGCAGTCTGGTAACAGGCAGTGGGGCAGCGTGGCTAGGAGTGCTTAGAAGCTGTGTTTGTGGCATGGGAAACACGTAATTTTTACTTAGAGTTACTTTATTTGGGGGGAGGAATGGGGGCAAATGGGGCTATTGGAGATAAAATTCTTCCAGGCCCTCTCTGGGTCTCGTCCTTGACTCCCTCCATTTATCTTAGTGGCTGAAGGTGGGACTTGGATGGAGGCTCAGTCCCTAAGTGGTCTAGTGGTTGGCCCACTTCCGTTGGTTTCCTCTTATTTTTATTAAAAAATAAGCTACAAAAAGAAATAGAAAACCAGTCCCTTCTGTGACTGCAGGCTCATCCCTGCACAAAGAACATGGATCCTGTGCAAGCGCATATGCTCATACACATGACTAAAGGTGGTTTGATATGTTGGCCTTTCATGGTGCAGTTAAATTATTAAGCATGTTCTGTGTGTGTTTGTGTGTGTGTGTGTTTCCTTCTCCAGGGGCTCCTCGTGATTTGAAGTGTATAACTAACAATTTGCAAGTGTGGGACTGTTCTTGGAAAGCACCCTCTGGAGCAGGCCATGGTACTGTTTATGAAGTTTGCATCAAAAACAGGTAATAGAAATACTTTGGTTAATGAATAGCTATAACCTAAAGGTCTTTAATATTAGAGCATAGAGATTTGCTTCTAGAAATTTTTTAATGAAATTTTAAATCTTAACTTTCTATTTCCTAAAAAATCTGAATCTTATATCAAGGGAAACAAACCCTTTTCCTGGCCAAAACTTTGTGTTATATGAATATTGTATAGAACACCCCTTTCATATGCTGTGGATTCTGATCTACTATAGGGAAGTTTTACTGGTGTGTCCCAAACCAACATCTGTCTAGATCAGTTGGGTTCAAGTTTTGACTCTGCCTAACAGAATACATCAGGTCTGGAATAGGCAGTTCAAGGCTGGCATGGTTGTTGATAAGAGACCCAGGTTCCTCTCTATCGTGCTTTGCCAGCTTTAGCATGTGATCTCATGGTTCAAGGATGCTTGAGGAGTGGCTGTTATGTCTGCATTCCAGAAGGCAGTGAGGAAAAGGATGCTTTTTTTTTTTTTTTTTTAAAGATTTTATTTGACAGAGACACAGCGAGAGAGGGAACACAAGCAGGGGGGACAGGAGGGGGAGAAGTAGGCTTCCCACCGAACAGGGAGCCCTATGCGGGGCTTGATCCCAGGACCCGATCCCAGGACCCTGGGATCGTGAACTGAGCCAAAGGCAGACGCTTAACAACTGAGCCACCCAGGCGCCCCGAAAAGGATGCTTTCCTTTAAGGAGACCTCTAAGAAGTCCCACACAACACCTCTGCTTGCATCTCATTGGTAGAATTTAGTCAAATGATGAAGCCTATTTGTATAAGAGGCAGGGCAATGTGCCTGGATAAACCGTGAGTTTGAGTTATTAAGGGAAAGGGGGAAAGGACATTAGGAGGCCAGCAACAGGTTCTATCACCCCACCTTCCCCTCTCAGATAATCTGGGAGAGGGCCATAAGCTCTGAAGCCTAGAGGTGAGGCCTTTGGGCTCTCTGCAAACTGGAACATTCTCTTCCCTTTCCCCGATTCCAGCAGGGCTCTAAGTGGTTTGGCAACACCTGAGTTGTTGAGCATGGCAGCTCCAAGTCCCCTTTTGCTGATGGGTGGCCCTCATGTAAATGGACATAAGTGCGCATTTAAATATTACTTGGGTGTTGTTTTCCCGTTTGGTATAGGTTTATTGAGCGTTAGTCTAAGCTTTGTGGTATATTTGTCAACCAGGAGGAGCTTGGTTGTGTTGCAGAAACAGCCCTAAAATCCTATTTCCTTATTTTCTGCTGTGAAAATAAAGGATTATTTCCTGCTTGTGTTCTGTGTCCATCTTGGGTCAGCTAGCATCTCTGCCCCCAGCCTCTCCTTGGGGCCCCAAACCTAGGGGTCCCTCACCCTCCAGTGCATGAAGACAGGAGAAGGAGAAGGGAGCACAGCCTACGCTGGCTTCCAGAGCTTCCTTCCGGAAGAGACAGATGTGAATTTCACTCACATTTCTCTGTAAATAAAGTCCCATCGCCTGCCTTGCTTCAGCAGGAAGTACAGTCCTGCTGTGAATCCAAAAGGGGAGAACCTGAAACATTTGGTAAATAGCATGAATGACTACCTCAGGCCACACAGAGAGGAAGTTGTTCTGGCTCTGCAGGAGTTCACAGAAACAAATCACTGTGAGTTAAGTGCTGACAGAAATTATATGTGAAGGGCTGAGGGGGCATTGACTGAGGAGTGTGGGGCCCCAGAGAGGCTGTCCGAGGTGTGATTGTGGAGTGTGAAGACCCAGTTTCTCAGAAAAAGGACAGAAGGACATTCCAGCCTGAAAGAATATGGGTTCCATGGCATGAACTTACAAAATTGAATGATTTAGCAAGTTCAAGTGGTTTTGTGTTGCTGGCACCTAAGGAAGCCTCCCCCTGTGAGGGTGACAGGAGGCGAGCCGACCTGTTTAAGTCAGAGTCCGGAGTAAATGTAAAGAGGTCTGCGCGGGGTGCTGGGCAGGGTCACACGAGGCACTGCCGAGTCCCTCTGCTTGAGCTCTGATTGGCATGGGAAGTTAGAAATGTACATGAAGGACAGTAAAAAGAATGTAAATGTGCTCTGTGAAGGTAGGGCCATGGAACCAAGGGGGAGAAAACCGACTTTTGTCCAAGAGATATGGGTGGGGAACTGGAAGAGTTTTGAAAGCAGAGTGGAAGAGAAAGTGTTGTTCACATTGAACCTTAGACCAAAACAGAGGAGCCGCAGACAGATTGAGGGTGTGTTTGAGGGCCACAAGCAGCCAGTTTCATTTCTGTCCTCAGTATCTGTGGGGCACCATCTCAGCCTGAGACCGCATGATGGTCTTGTATAAAGGTGCAGGGCTGTAGCCGGGCAGGGGTGCGCGGCGCCAGGTAAGGCTGCCGAGGGAAGGTTGGTGGGAGTTTGAAGGGCATGCTAAAATCCCGAGCTTCTTGAAATAATCATCTCTGCTTATCACTCAACTTTCTGGTACAGTCTGGTTATTCATCCTCCGCATTGATGCACTTACATTACCCTCTCTTTTTTCAGTCTTTAGATGCAGTATAACCTATCATGTTTTTGTACGGAAGAACATACTTTCCAGCACATTTTGTGCTAATCATGTTTTTGCGAAAGTTGCACTATTAATTTTATCTGCTAATTAAAATTTGATTTTTTTTTTTCTATTGCAGGTCTCATTCTTGTTATCAATCAGAGAAAACAAATACTCAAATCCCTGCTCTTTTACCTGGTGATCATGAAATAACAATAAACCGTCTGCATGATCTTGGAAATCTTATAAGTAAATTCACACTAAATGAAAAAAATGTCTGTAAGTATTTGAAAAGAAAATTGACTTGAAAATAACTCAGCACCGGGGTGCCTGGGTGGCTTAGTCGGTTAAGCGTCTGCCTTTGGCTCAGGTCATGATCGCAGGGTCCTGGATCGAGCCCCAGGATCTACTCAGTGGCGAGTCTGCTTCTCCCTCTCCCTCTGTGCTCTCTCTTTCTTCCACTCTCTCTCAAATAAATAAAATCTTAAGAAAAAACTCAGCACAGTGCCTTTGTGCTTAGTATTGCAGTGCTTTATAATTGGCAGAAATTTACTCTTCTCTTGAATGTTAGTTATTAGACTAATGCTTGCATTTCCCCAGCAACCATACTGTGGCTTATAGAGCGCAGCCAAGATTGGGAAGGAAGCCGACTGCCGTCTAGTCAATCAAAAGTAGATGTCACAGAGTTCACGATCTTTTCCACATTTGGATACTTTTCTCGTCACCTCTTCGCCTCATTGATTCCTCCATACCTTTCAGAATTTCTCAGGTGTCCCGTGCTCTACGGAGTGGTCTTTGACCATCCCTATTCCTTTCTTAACATTCCCTTAGGTAATGTGTATTTCTCCTTCGTGGCATTTCTCACAGTTGCATTACTAATGTATTATGTCATAAGGCACTTACTGTGTGTCGCTTCCGCAAGAAAATAGGTTCACATAGGGCAGGGAGTTTCTCTTCCACACTTAGCACCTAGCCCACTGCCTCCCACGTGCTGAGCATCTTTTACAGATGTGTTGATGGAGTGCCTACGACCTAGGTTACAGGCTGAGTGGAGTCACGAAATAGACCCAGGCTGATGGAGATGGAAATTTTGCTACACAGTGAGACCTTAGAAACCCCAGGAGCCTTGACTCTTAATGGTTGGGGAGGCAGGTTTGTTCGCTCCTGACAGCTATTATGGTGTGGCATCAGGATGATGTTATAATGAGTCTTAGAAGGATGACTTACTTTGAAACAAGGGGAAAAATATAATTAACTTGGTGACCTGTCCAATTTCATAGATGAGATGCCTGTTTGGAGTGGTCTGTGTCTGAGACAGAACAGATTCTGAAAGGATAATAACAAAGCAAGCTTTCCAGGAACTTCACATCTGTCTCACTGCCTTTCAAGATAAAAAGGGGAGCCATGTTTGTTCTTTTCTTTGTATAGCTGGATGTGAGATCCGTGTGAGAATGTTTTGTACAGATCAGCCATGATCTCAGTACCCACAGAGAAATACTGCTGACACTTAAATTTATTTTCTATGCGTATACATATAAGCAGTGAGCTTTGTATTACTTTATAACCTGCTTAACAGAAGACATAGATTTTTTAATTTGTTATCTAAATCTGTATTATTTTTATAGGCTGCGTAGTATTCCACTGAATGGAGGTACCATGATTATGTTAAGTGATTGATTGTTAACATTGAGATTTTTATTTCTGGTTTTTCAGTATTATAATCAATGCTTTAATGAGCCTGTTTTGCACACGTATGTTTCCATTTCCTTAGGCTAAATTCCTAAAATTGGGAATGCTGCATTAAAGATAATCCCCTTGTTAGGACTTTTAATATCCATTGCCAATGTTTTTTTAAAACTTGCAAGTCTCTTTGCATTTCCACAGACATCCTATTAGAGGGGCTCCCTGTTCTTTACTTCTTGCTAAGACTAGGTATTGTCCATTTCTCTTAGTTTTGCCATTTCAATCTGATGGCCCCCCAATTATAGCACTTTGTTTTTGCGTTTCTGTGATTACTTCTTTTTTAAAAAGTTATCATTTTTATTCTTTTCTGAACTGTCTGTATCCTTTTTCAATTTTCTCTCGTGTTGAAACTCATCTTTTCCCTCATCAGTTCATAAGAGCTCTCTATATTATGGTTATTAATTCTATCATATTTGCTACAAATAATTTTCCAAGTTTAAAATTTAAACTTCCTGGTTTTCATTTTTATATAAATAGAATCTTTCACTATTTATTTATTTATTTATAATTTTCCAAGTTTAAAATTTAAACTTCCTGGTTTTCATTTTTATATAAATAGAATCTTTCA